TATTCTGAAATGAAACATAACTGATCTACTGCTAAACAATATTGGAAAAATTAGAAGAACTTTGTGGAATATTCTTGCAACTTGAGATAATCCCATGAATCTGGAAAAACTAAGCTAAGGTTCAGCCTGACGGATCTAATATTCACTTAAATGCTTTGTACACACTACATTACAATATGCACATGACTTTTCACAGTGCAAAGTAATTTAAATTATTAACACCCTGTAATACTTTTTCCTTTTTCGTTACTTTTCAATATTTCAACCACAATATCTTTCACTGGGATTGTATCTTACTGACTATCTCAAATTACTACCTAAATTTTACATTTTAGGAAAAATGCTCATACAGTGATTAATTCCTTTTTGTGTAACAGCCTTGAACAAATAGTACACAAACTAAGGTTTTTACCCATATTTATCTGCAAAATAACACAAGCTCAGTCACAATGCACAGATTCTCACAGGATTTATGATTGACTTTCTATGGATCTTGATCTGAATCCATCTGCTGTTTCTTATTTTGCTGCAGCTTCACAAAAAATGATCAAATTGTGTTTTTTCAGGGTGATAGTCATTGGAAGATAAAAAAAAAACAATTAGGTATGTTTTGATTGATCACATGTTTATCTCCTACATGGCTTCAGGCAAAGTAAACTGGACTTATGATGTCTGATGTATGATGATGATCTCTTCTCCAAAGCTCTTTCAAAATTCCGAACCCTTTTAGCTCCAGTTTAGGAGGACAGGCATGTCTTCATAGATTCACAGTTGCATCATAACCTCTCCAGTTTTACATCATTGATTAAACAGGGAGATGTTCAGATCCTGGTATATTGTCTAAATGCTTTGATCTCCATATCTGGTTTGTTCTGGTTTGTTATCTTCAGTGTATCACTTATTTGTTTTCTAAATGAAACATGAAATGAAAAAATATAAAGAGAATTGTTTTCATCTAATTTAGAAAAGTGTAAAGCAGTTGTTCTTATTACATTACTAGATTAAATATGGAGAATTCAGATAAAGAAGTATAAATTCCCCTTGTCTAATTTAGCTTTGGGCTGGGAGGTGACCAGGGGGTAGTTTTATGAGTTTGGGACAGACAGGAAATAGTTCCTGTCAGTTGCATGTTTTTATTCACACTGTTTGTGCTGCAACCTTCAGGTGAACAAACAGACATGTTAAAATTTAACAGTGAAAACTGATTTTCTCTATAGATCATGGCAAGTTCAAGTTTATTAGCCATGATGTGCCTTTAATATTGCAACTGGTGCATCATAGAAACACTTCACACTAACACTTTCAAACAATTTGACAAACCCAATTGCACCAATACAATATAGCTGATATTTCAGTTTTTTACCGCTTTCAATAAATTCTGTAACTGCACACTATCTAAGCTGCCTATTGAATTTTTTTATACTGGAGGGCTAGCTGTGATACTTCTGTGCCTTTTATTTACTTGCTGCTCATGCCTCATAAAACTACCCCCTTTTTACCTCAGAGCCCAAAAATAAATTTAAAAATATCCTCTTCACACTTTATGCCATTTCTCAGAAGTTGATTTGTAAAATATTTTAAAAGCACTTCATATTTCCCTTCCACTTTGGCTTAATTCATATCAATCGAACACATAACCTGTTTATACAGCTCAGTAAAGTTTGTAATTGTAATGGGACAGCATTTAATGTGTAGCATTTCAAGGGGTTTGAATACTTTTTTAAGACACTGTGCTTGTTTCCCCCAGTGATTTAACTGGATGTTATGATTTGATTTGTTTAAACATGGAAACAAAGTGATATAGTGAAAGAAGACAACAAAAGTAGTAAACTATCTTTTTATTTTACCATGTCAAATCATCCCTTTTACTGCTTTAAGCAATTCTTATATAAATAATAAAATCATTAAGTATCAAACTTTCTAACATCACAACATTTTTTGACAACCTACTGTTTTAAAACAAGCCCAAAACACTGTGTTAGTTTGAAATATCACTTCTAATATTCATGCAGCTCTAATGTTTAATCAACTTTTGTTAGTTTTTTATTTATTTATAATTTTTGTGCTTGCAAAGATCAGGTGCACATAAAGGTTCATGTGCTTGTTTTTTTATCCTTAGGTATTTGATGGAGCTGTTATTGTGCTTTCTCTGGCCCCAATGGTGGCCTCCACAGTGGCCAATGGACCCAGTAGCCCCTGGGACGCAATCAGCCTCATCATCACCCTGCGCATTTGGAGGGTCAAAAGAATCATAGACGGTAAGAGAGAATTAAAACCGCTGGTCAGTCAAAATCAGTCAAGCAATATGTCATATAGATTAGTCCTGTGAAAGGAAATTGTTGAATTCAAGATGATCACAACAGAAAATAAGATGATCCTGCATTTTCTAAAAACTGTTATTCCCGTGATTATACCAATGCAGAGCTATACATCTATTGATTGTCTCTCAGAGCAAATTGCTACCTCTGTGCTTAGACTCATTCATTTGAAGGCTATGGTTGAGGAGATTCAGACAAAGTGTGATAAACATTTATTGTTGTCCCAGCTATGCTAAAGCAGCATTGCTTGGTTATTTTAAGAGGTCACCTTTACAATGAGTCACTGACTGCTTAGTGCTTAGATCAGCTGGACACAAAACACTGACCGCAGCTTATTTATGTTCATGTTTTTGGAGGATGATTAACAGGAAACATGTTCATTTCCCATTCGTAAAGAACTTATTTTATCTGTTTTATGTCTTTCTTTAATAATATTTTGGTATGTATATTTTATCTATATTATTTATCTAATTATATTACAATATTAAGTATATGCATTTTCAGTCAATGGATTTTCATAGTAATATGTCATTATTTATTTAATATAAAAATATAAATAGATACATATTTATATTTATCAATTTATTTTTATATTAGGAAGAGAAACTTTCAGTCAATTTTAGAATGTATTTATTTAGGTATTGTAGTCTAAATAAACCTGTTAAAAAAACATCAATATAAACACAATTACAAATTGGAAACCATGCAAGTAGTTGATGTCTACTGTTTAACATGCAGCTGCAGCTTTTTTGTTCCAAGGAATAAACTCATTTACCTTCTGCTCACCTAAAAATATTGTTTTTTTAGTTTATTCTGTAGCAAGGCACATCACACATTCAAACAACTCCTCAAACTTCTAAATATACAGCAGATGGTCTGTCTTTTCTATTAGGGTGAGTCGCTTGATATATTAGGCGATAGCGATCTGATGAGAATGGAGATTCAGAGGAATGAGCTGTTGCTCAGTTTGATTTGGCTGGAAAACTGGGATTTATTAGCTGTTTCACATAGAAAGTTTTGTCCGGTTAAATTGGCAGAGAATGTACGCATATAAACAGTAAAACCCAGAACTAGTGTTATATTCAAAAATAGGAAAGCTGTTTGGTAACTGTTAAATTATTTTCTCTCTCTCGAAAGAACACAGAGACATTGCTTAAAAACTTGCAATGAAGATAATACCTTACTTTTTTATATAAAATGTTCCTGAAGCAGGTTCTTAAATCAAATCATACAATCAAACAACTAATTATTTAGGAAAATAAAGGTTTTAAAAATATATAAAATCTATTGAAAAGGTTAAGTTGTCTTAGATTTTGAAACATATGTTTTCATGTTTTTTTCAAACATGACTTACCTGCTCAGAGAAAAACTGGGACAAAAGGGATGAAATGTCATCCAAAAGCTCTGGGTCTGCTCTGGCCTCCCTCCTCCGAATTGATCGTTATCTATTAGAAGTGGTGATCAGATTCTTGAACCACCTGAATAAAGAGAACCTGCTGCTCTAGTCTTAGGTCCTTGCTTTATCTTTAGGACTGAGCTAACAACTTCACCTTCTTTCTAGCTGTGAACTGCTGGGATCTCATTCTTTTGGTTATGGTGTGAAATTGGAACCTCCACCCTCAATTTACAGGTCAGCTGTAAGAAGCCATTAGACAAAGTCAAAAAGGTTGCTTTTTTTATCTGGTGCAGGGGGTGGCACAGTGATAAAGTGAATACTCCATATATGGAAGCCTCAGTTCTCCATGTCTTCTCCCTCTGACCATGCCAATTCCTGTCTGAAATTTAGCAAATAAAGGTCACTATTGTCCCAAGAAGAAACCCAACAAAAAAAA